AAATTGTGATTGGTTGCTTCACATGTCCGTCAGACTGACTGCTCCTGTCTAAACAGGGATTTCTTCAAAGTGGACCATCAGACATTATACTGATGAAATTACTGAAAAAAAAAACGTTCATAGATATTAATAACATTACATCTGACCCTTTATTTCCAGGTTTTGCAGGGTATAAGTTGTGCTACCAAGAGATAATGCAGGTGGTGAAAGGGATTGTGCACCAGCCCTTTGAAGTCAAGGGAAGCAGCATCTTCTATGCCTTCTCCTATTACTATGACAGAGCTGTGGAGTCTGGTCTCATTGGTAAGACTAAATTAGGGATAAGGTTCAATGCTACAGAATGACAACAAATGATTCATCTTTAAAAGTTATGCTAAACAAACTGTTTTGTCTCAATCTTTTAGACGGATCCCGTGGTGGTACTGTGGAAGTCAGGGATTTTAAAAAGAGAGCCAAAGAAGGTAAGACTTTGGACATTCTCCCATTCTCTAAAGAACACTCAGGTCAAAGTCCTGCCGCACACATTGCACAAACATTAACACTCAATGCTTATTTGCATTTGAGGTTCTCGACAATCACACTGGCTTCACAAAATGATAGCTCTGCCACCACATAAACATAGGTTGTTCACCTTTTTTGTAACTCTCCGAGCCGCTATCTCAGATTTCCATGCCCTTACTAGAGGATTATGTTATGAATTCTTGTACAGAATGTGATACATATATCAGTTTGAGGCCTGAAACTGATTCATGGAATGTGGCTCACTTGGTAGATTGTGTCCAACAGTAAATGTCCACAGAGATGATTTATCGCTAGGGGGAATGAGTTGGCGTCTTATGTAAGGCTATTATTTGTACGCTGACACTGTCGCATGGTCTCGATGAACCACATTTGGCACATTGGTTATCCCAGTGGCAGCAGCCCTGTGGATACCCCCCTCTTCCCTGACCGTGAGACAACACCTAATGCCCAATATCTAACTGGAGGCAGGCAGGACTTAATGTCACACCCTTTGTGGGAACACTCGGTATCCCTTGTGATTTGGAGCACAATCAGCACTTGTGTACGACCTAGGGTATGAAATTATTCATTCCCACTTTCCTCCTCATCCCAAACTTTCACAAATCACATTGTCAGCTGGAGGAAAAACAAAACATTGGGAAGACCTGTTTCACAAAGACGTGCCAGACAGTTGTAGCAAACACAGTACTGGTGCCTCAATGTCTTACCTAATTTTCTCCAGACTCTGACACACTGCAGCCTGACAATCAACAGTCTGGGACTCACTGTACACTATGCTTATCATTTCTTGTGCAACATAGGAATTTTTTAGTCTTTTCATTTTGTCTTGGATATTTTATTTCCCAATTCTGTACTCAGAGTTACAAAATATTTACATTTTCGGAAGAAAATGTGACTGGTGCTTGCCCGTGCAAAACTCATCGCCATGAGCATTGCTATGTGGTTGCAAAACTTTTCAAAGTAGTTCTTAGTGCTAGGGTGTTCTGGGTGGTTGCTACTCTAAGTAGTTGCCACCACTTTCCTCAACAAGCCACCCAGTTTGATGTATAACTCGTCTGTAGCACAGACTATGTGTGGGATGAGAAATGCATCAAGGTTTAATACTAAGGCTCAAGGGTTTGTTCAAATCCCTAACTTTAAGTTTGAGCAATAGTAACAGCTTCCCTTCGCAAGCACAGCTAATTATTGTTCTTTTCTTTTTCTTAAACAAGTGTGCAACAAGATGACTAAATACCGTCCAATCAGCCCCTTTTTGTGCATGGACATGACCTATATCACATGCCTATTGAAAGAGGGATTCGGGTTCAAGGACAGCACTGTTCTGCAGGTGAGTGGGAAATATCAAAACATCATAATTTAAAAAATGTGAAACTGAAAATTTACAGGAAATACACTATGGGGAGGATCTAAAATTGGTCTCAAACATGTCTACTAGCTCAGTGTTTGTACATATTTGAGCATACAGAATTAAATTGCCAAAAGCCTATGGTAACATTCCTTGACAGACGAAGTAGCACAAATTAGGCAGCATAATGGATTAATGATGTTCTTCTTTTAACAGCTTACTAAAAAGGTGAATAACGTGGAGACAAGCTGGGCACTCGGCGCCATCTTCGATCATTTCCACAATCTCAATATTCATTAAAGCCTGCAGTCTTGCAGTGGACACCAGCATGAGGGGGAGCACAGGGATCAAGCAGGGGCAAAACTCACCTGATCAAGCAGCCCCTCTTTGTCCTCCTCCATAACTCTTAAGTGAGTTTCAGACCTGCCCTGCAGCCCTGTATCATAATGCCCTCCTCCCTCACCAACTAAACACTTACAGAACTGTTCACAAAGAAATCACTATATTTTTGTAACGATGGCCAGGCCAGCCTGCTATTTCTACTGTATGTTTACATTTTTTCAGTTGTTGTCTCACCCGAGACACTCTGTCTGTCTGTCTGTCTATCTAAGTTGGCAGTTTTCAAAGTTTCAATGTTTAACTCACCCATTTAAAGCTCTTGATTCATGCTGTTGTGCAGGATATCGTGCAGTGGGACACATGTAAAAACATTGTGTTTATTATTGTAGCTTCTGTAGCCTCTTCTGCTGTAATCTGTTATTAGTAGTGCTTGCACAGTAGTGTAGTGCTGTTTTAGGTTATGGTAAATTATAATGAAATTTCCATTTAGTCCCCTATCTAGCACGTAACACTTTAACGTAGCTGGTTCAGCTACAGCCATCTGTTTTGGAAAGTTGTTTTGGATCAGCAGCTTTAACCTGGGGTTGATTGGGCAGGTATAGGAATAAGGACAAATTATACATGTACAGTCACTTTACTTGGGTACATGAGTGCTGTTTTACATAATAATGAATAATGCATGCATTTAGGCTTATCCGTTTGTATATTAAGAAGGTTAGCATAGCAGAGTTGAAGAGCTGAGTTGGAACATTTTCAGAAGCATATCACTCTCTATTTTTTATTTTTTTTTAGCCAAGGTCTAACCAGCCATGGTTTTTAACACTGAATGGCATGCAGTTGAATACACTTGCACTGCAGCCATTATCAAATTATAAAAGGTATATAAACGCTTACATGGGATGGCTAAATCCTATAAATAGGTGTTACTGTATTCAAAATTAAGTTATTTTTATGCCAACATGCAAACAGAGTTTAGAGTACTTTGGACCTCATTTATATATTTAAACTTGGGTTGGTTATTGTAGATGGTTCATTATGTAGAACAAGGAGTCATTATGTAGAACAGGGAGTCATTATGTAGAACAGCATTGAAACGTTACTGCTTTGTGCATGCAGAGATGCTCGGGTGTAATTGAGCAGAACTTTGTTAGATTTTGTGACAGGTGCATACTGCTGACCGACTTAGGACCAATTTTTGGCAGTATCATGTTAAGTGTGTTTTGTGAATTATTGTACAAATATTTATTACATGAATACTTGCTAAATATGCAGTGTGCCGTTGTTGCATCTCTTGTTAATCCATCTGCTTCTTTAAAGCTGCTGCAGTATACCTTTTTATGTATTTTACTGTCTGTACATACACATCAGTAATGTACTTTTTTTTACCAGTTGTCATAATTCAATGTATGACATGAAAATATCATGTACTGCTTCGCCATTTTTTGAGGCATTCTTGACAACAAATGCTATAAATATGCTTTCCAATTCAATGTTGTGTATGACGTGATACTGTACATGAATAAAAAAATATAACAATCTGTTGTTGAATAGCTTAAATGGGATTTTAACGATAGCCTACAAACTTCACGTGATCCATCAGATAAACTTATCTTGAGGTATTCTTGAAAGTTACATTTATTTTTTCTCTCAAAGAGTGTAGAATAATGTTGAGATATTTGCAGTATAACTAAAAACTTGATGTTCGTGTGTTTCAGAAACTAGGCCTATGTAGACACGAAATACATAAACATATAGACGATTAATGCTTGCTTACCTACTCAGAATGATCATGGAGATGAATAGATTTCCTTGTTGATCGAACTGGGAAGTAATGGGAAGCAGCTGTTTTACTGTCAAGTCCCATTATCTACACTGGGCGTGGGCGATTTAAATTCGCGCCAAATATGAAAATAACTGCAACTGCCTGCCAATAATCGCGCGTCTTTTTGAATTCTCGCGAGATAAAAGGTAAGATAATTTGGTTAAATGGTTGATAGTGCGACCTGAAATGTGTACTTTTATTCGTATTCATTAGTAGATTATGACTTAGGTCACTGGAATTGTATTGAAAAGGTAAATTTATGCCGAGATACATTTTGCATCACTTACAACTACTTTATTCACAATGGGGTTCAGTTGTACACCTTTGCCTTACAAATTCTGGCAGTACTAAATCTCTGTGAAAGCAAACATTAGGAGACGTTTTTGCTTTTAAAACTCGGGGAAAAAAACTAATAAATGCATACCACCAGATAATTCAATTCCAGCATAATCCAAATTATGTGCTTAAAGCTATGTATCATTACACCTTTGACTTGGGAAGCCTAATTTAGTTTTGCTCCACAACTTATACAGGCCAGTGGGAAAACGTTCTACAACCAGTCTGTCCCTGTACAAAACTGAATACATTAGGTCATAATAAATCATGTTGTAATCTTAACAACTGAGAAAATTTACGACCATGTAGATTAATGAAATTTGATGTTCATCCTGAAACGTGTAAGAACCATGTTCGGTACACATACAAAATGATCTGACTTCTATGTTTGACCAGCCTTAACAGTCTTATGAATTGTGTATGTTTCCTATACAAAAAAAAGGGATGATTATCCTTTAAATTACATTCTTCTTCATTTTAAATTACATTCTTCATTTAATTACTTTATTTATTCTTTGTTCTTTAACTTTATACCATACAATGGCCAATTTGAATAGTATGAAAGTAACAAAGTTTGAGAAATTATTGAACACATTTACGTTCTATTTGCAAAGAAGGCAGAGCAGGAGTTGCATCTTATATTTATTTTAGATTACATTTTCATATAGGTGATTGGAAAAGATGGCATAAAATGTTTTCCAACAAAGATAGAGGAATAAAATATAATTTATTAATTTACACTTATACATTCCATGAACAAAATCAGTAGAGATTCAGCAAACATCCAGTTTGCAGCTAGTGTTTTACTTGCTGGCGTAGGCCATGATCTGCTCCTGTGGGTACAAGAAAAAAAAAAAAAAAACTTCAGGTAAGTGACTTACAGGTAAGCAATATTCATAATTCACAATTGATGTTTTATAGTTTTAATTTGAGAAATGCACATCTTCCCACTTTTGATCATGAAGGGTGACAAGTCGTCCTTACATTACATTTGAGGTACATACAGTAACGTCTATAATAGAAACACCAGATGTGGGAGTAATCCCTCAAGGCTTAAGACAAGTTACAGGCCCTCTGGTTGGAATCGCTTAGTAAAGGAATGAAGCCATTTCATAAGAGTGGCCTGTAATAAAAGGAGTGTGAAAGCACAAGCCAACACAACCATGCACAGCCCTGCAACTCCACCCACACACTTTCGGTAACAGTAAATTTAGGGCTAAACATAACCATAGTAGTAGCTCCTGACCATGTAAATTACAGGCATGGATAAGAGTAGAAAGGCATGTAATCAGAGGACAAGATGGGGGAATGGGGTTAGAGAGGGGAAGAAGTCAGAGGAAGAGTGAAAGGGGGAGCAAAACTTGGAGAGGTGAAAGAAGACTGAAGCTGGAAGCAGAACAGAGGCACAGATGACAGAAATGAATGCGAACACGAGCGGATTGGCCACAGAGCTGAAGAAAGGAACAAGATCCAAAGTAATGTAATACGATGGAGGAAGGGAAGATTGTCCAATAATTTCAGAGCAGAAAATAAAAATAAAACTGACATTTTGAAGGAATTGTGGGAAGAATAAGAGATGTGATCATACTTTAAGTGGAGGCAGTGCGTTGGTAGCCTGCAGGCCGAAGGTTCTCAGTAAAACCATAGGTGCGGCGTTAGTGGAGTACAATCTCTTCATGAGGTCAATGGCTGCCATCATAGGAAGATTGTGTCGCTGACGTTCAGTCTCAAACTCCAACAAGTGCTGCATGGCTCCTAGAGTTCAAAGGATCAAAGGTTAAACAGTAAAGCATGTGAAGTACTCTCTTTTTTTCTTCTTCAAAAGTTGTCCTTTCTGTTATCCATTTGGTACTTGTTGTCTGTACAGAATTTACACCTGCTGAAATCTCTGCAGATTTACACAATAATCATATTTTTTAAATACTTATTAAAAGCTTTCAATCAGCAATACGAAGGTAGTACTTTCCGCTTAATTTCAAACATTTTACCGCATTTAATAAAACTCCATACCATAAAATTCAGGTGACTTTCCTCCTAAATCAGCTGTTTAAAATATCTATAATAAATATCTGCAATATGGATGAATATGGAAAATATCAGTTACTGTTTTAATTATACATATATGAATTTCAAAGAAACTGATGTCAACAATTCCTCATAACAAGATTTCCATTTGTGGCTGCAAAAAAAATTTATGAGCAGTTCTTGGCATGAGTGACAAGTAAAAACACTGTATACTGCTCCAGGACAACCAGTTATTTTCACTAAAGATCACCCTCAATATAAGGAAATGGAAAAGAGCTTATGAAAAACCACATATAGCTCCACCGGGCTCTTCTGAACCAAAAGTATGCTACTTCAGGTATGAAATACTCTATGATCTGAATATACAGCAGAAAATTCCAAACCAACAAAAGTCCTTCATGTTTCTTGTCACATTTCTTCAACGTGAGGCAGTTCTTCACTATATAGCTTATATAATGTATGAGTTTCTTATTAAATAAGCTCATTACATGACTTTATGTAATGCTTATTAAATGTATATATTTGAAAACTGTCACACAAGTACAAATCCAGTGAACACATACATTCGGCTTGACTGCTGCTGATGCTGAAACACTTACCAAGGTCTTTTCCATTAAATGCTGCTTGGCTGAGAACTTTCGTGAGATAGGCCACATCGCCAAAGCCTAGATTGGCACCTTGGCCTGCTAAAGGATGGACTCTGTGTGCAGCATCTCTGAAATTAGAAAGATCAGAAAATATAGAGAGGAAACCTTGAGTCAGGAGCCATATTTTGCTTGACTGGCCAAACCTGCTGAAATTTCCTCCTTGTGGACTCTATATTACCGATGAAATTCCTCATCACATAGGTTTAAAGTCTCAGACAACCACATAAACAGTACAGCTGTGCTATAAATTCAATATTGAGAGATTTCTCCTTCTGACTCTATACTTACGGAAAACATTCTTAAATTCTGAACAGCAAATACGCAAAACCAAAAATCGTTTCATGCACTAACTTTGCAAACATACCCAATGATGGCCACTCTGTGGCGGATGTATTCTGTGGCATGACCCATACCTAGTGGGAACATGACCCGGCTCTTTGGGCCAATATCTGCAACGCTAGGTGGAATCTGACGTGCAGAGCCGCTGTCAGGCATCAGGACAGAAAGAGCCGTCCGGAACAGAGAGCCAGCAGTCTCCACCATCTCAGAATGGTTCTCATTACTCCACTGGAGAGAGAGAAACAGAGAAGTGAACAACAGTGGAAATGGCACCAGAAGAATGAGGTATGCAAGAATCTCGTTATAGAGCTGCTAAGCTTAAACTGGATGGAAGATGAGTGGAGAGAAGTGGAGAGCCAGTTAAAAAACAATCACTGACTACTGCTAATGTCATTCCAAATCCATATGGCTTTCTTTCTCTCATGTAATATGCAAAATGACAAGGACTAAAAGAAAGCGCCATAAAAGTCCATATGACTCATGCGCTCTGATGCAAGCAAGTTTGAAAAATCATTCTGAATCCTATATGGGAAACCAAAAAAAGTGAAATCACATGTTTCTCAGTTCATTTTTTGATATTTATTATTTTCTGTCCAACTGAACTCTGAAGTTTTCTCATCATTTGACAGGCTGCTGTAAAGGGCAGTAAACAATTTTTTCCACGGTTCACTTTCTGCCTTAAATTATACAAAAATCTTTAATGGAACCAGAAATCAATCTGGAACCAAATGCACTGCAGAGGGGAAGATTTCCACATGATGAACTAAAATTCTTATAGAATAGAACAGCCTGTTCCTTAAAGCTAATGCATGACTTTAACTTGACTGAACTGCTAAAAAAACATACAAACAAGATATATATTATTTTTTTCTCCTGCAATAGCATTCAGGTTCTTGAATTTTCAGGAATCACAAATTAACTGAAGTTGATTCACATATCAACACTCCCAGTTTCTATTAATAAAAAAGTTGGAAAACAAACAGGAAAACAAAAATACCAGAGGTAATACCTATATTGGGGGCCTTTGAAAACTGTGTAGTCAAAAAGGCTAAGAACCACTGCTTTAGAGGACTTGAAATAGAGCACAGCATGGTCTCCTTCAATGACACTTTTATAGTGCTTTTTTTAATCCTTTTTGGATCATGACAGTCCCTGGTCACCGCTGATTTTATTGTATGGGGAAAAAGCTGCATAAACATCCTTCAGTGGAGCACCATAATTTTGAAGACAACTGCACAGCAGACACATACACCACGTCTGGGCTTGAGTACCATTACAAACACATGTATTTTCCATTTGACCACTAAGTGATATCACGACGAACCAATGAAACAAATCAAGCACAACTGAGATCATTTACAAGTAAAATAAACTCTTAAGGTCAGCTCACAGGAAGCATTGCAATGGGCCCGGTTTGTAGGAACCTCTGCCAGGCTACGTTATTTACGGTGGGCTGAAATACAATATTGTAAGGTTAATGCATTCAATGCAACCATATTTCTTCTGTAATGTGACATGTCCAAGCAAATGGCAGAATTCAATAAGTTGAGAAAAACAAACGAGATGTAATACTGTATGATTTGAACTTCAAACTGGAGGATCATCATACCTCAGACAAATGCAGAACAGCGACGACCGCTGACTGATCGTAATTCCATTTGACTGTGGGGATGCCAGCCTCTCTCCGCACCATTGAGTTCGGTCCATCAGCACCAATCTGAAAGAGCCAATCATACCTTCCTTAAGAAATGGAGGTTTTGCTTTTGTAGTGGTGCACTCTTCTGTTTGTAATACCAAAGGAAACACTGGATACATTCTACATACCAACAGCTTGGTTTGGAGAGTCTTTCCATTGGCTAGAGTCACCTGAACCCAAGGGATGGACTCAGAGACATGGTAAGGACGGGGCCAGGTGTACTTCACCACTTTTGTTCGGTACTGCACTTTAACATGGTCTGGTTTAGAAATGAATGAATGAATGAATGATAATCACCCCAAAACATCATTGCACATTAAAATGCAACAAAAAGAGCATTAATCCAAATCTTGTTCAGTTCCACTTGGGAAATGGGAAAAAAATCCAAACAAACAGAGTTTGGCTGTGACAAAAGTCAAAAAATGAAGGATCATCAAACCACCTCATAAAATACAAAGTTGTTTTCCTTTCTCTGGTTGAGGCCTGCTAGCATTAACAATTGTCTTAACGGCTTTGGCAAGTCACCCATGGCTGACATGGTGTACAAGCAAACCATGCAATACATAAGACCAGCTGCCAATATCCTGGACACAACAGAGAACGAAAGTAAAGGAAGCAGAAAATCCACTTTTCTTAGAATCACTGGCGGTCTAGGCACATAAAAAGATCCGGAATTACGCCTACTTTTCGAACCATTCTGTCCACAAAACTGAACACTAGTTCTTGCACACAGATGAGAAATATTAGCTTCTTGCTGATTTGAAAGCAGAGTAACGGAGAAAAAAAAAACAGCTGGCTGATGCACATACTTTTTGCCTAGTACTTCAGCAGAAATAGCAGACTGTTAAAAAGCACCAACTTGACACAAACAGGTGAACACGCACGTGCTACCGCACATCTGTTAAATGCAAAATGTGTTTTAAAAAAGGCCTGTTTTTAAAAATATGCTGTTTTACAGAGCATGGCATGGAAAAGCCAAATGCAGAGCCATGGAACAGTTTAGCTATTTACAACGACAAAATGTTACAGTAAAATGCTGTCCGTGCTCAGGCACCCCAAGCGAGCGAGATGCTACGGCTGGAAAGGAATATGTTTTTTTTAAATGGGTCAATAGACCACTGCACGTGTCCGAACAGGGTGGCAATTCTCGTGGGGCTTTAGAACTCCCACCAAAAGTAATGTGCTGGATGATCGAAATAGCAGGAAAAACACGGATGCGTCCAAAGAAGTGGAATCTTTAGGGAAAAAAACAGAAGAAGAAAGATGTTCAAAAGGAGTATGAGTACAAATAAACATTTTGCCAAGACGGGAAGGAATGGCTTGTGGTGAAATTTGCCAAGCCATCCCTAAAACTAATTATCAGGGAGCCCACTCAGCGCTCGAGAGTGCAGGACACTGCTGGGGAAAACATTTAGCAACATGGAAAAAGCACAGCGAAAGCAACGATTAAGGATATATCATCATGTAATGATCAAAGTTCAGTGTGCAAAGTAATGATTACAAAAACAAACACATAAATCGATCCATAAATCAAACATCAAAATTAATCCGTTACCAGAGAGAGTCTGCAGCTGTTTGGTGAGGGCGGCCACAATGACGTCGTTCTCAACGATGTATGCCATCTCGTCCTGCAGATTGTCTTTATCAAATGTAATCAGAGCATCTGAACAAGCATCCCAAACCTAAAGCAAAGAACCAAATTATTGCTGTGGTTTACAACTCTATCCTTATGTGACCGCTCAGGCGCTATTTATGGATTTCCAAAAGAGCACGTGCTTCATTGAACTTGAACACATCAAAGCCGAAGAGTTCTGCCAGATACTCTAACCAAACATCAGCCACCAACAGCCTTTGAGGTTGCACGGTTGACTCTGTAAACGCACTGGGGTGAGGCAGAAATGTAAAAAATGCCATTCTTCGTGGCGATTTATGCTTGTATTTATAGTTAAGTTAATAATAAATAACAAATATGCGAACATTACTGTGTCGAGCTAAGTTTGTTTCATCCAAGTTGCCTTGCAACTTAGTTAATAAAACATGCAGATGGTTTTAAATGCAAAAAGGGCTTGGTGATTGATGCAGCTATATTTTAAAAACCTAAAATGACTTGTAACTAAGGTGAATGGCAAACAATTAAATCCATGAGTGACATGGATTCAGAAGGACTGTTCTATCCTTGTTATACAGCCATACTAAAACCACTAATAGTAGTGGTTTAGCAATTTTTGATACATGGTTACATGCAAGATTTAAAACGTGACCAACCCACAATTATAAGGATTTTACACATAGGAAAAACACAGCTGTTGATAAGTTTTGGAGTTGCTATGTACTTCCAGTCGCTGCCAAATTAAAATTATCCCTTGCCAAAATGACCCTTTTAGCACAATCATTTCTGCAACAAAGATACCAGAAAAGATTCAGACCATTATGGAGGAAAAAATCTAGCTGTTAACACTTTAGGGAACCTCCACACTTTTTTTTCTGGTACATGGCACTTCCCAGGCCCACTTTAGTCGCTTTCCTCCAACCACTTGAATTTAATTGGAGGGCAAGAGGGAACCTAGCTCAGTTCCTTTGCAGTTTCATCCTTGTTTGGACATAAATGCACTCACAAACAAAAAGGAAAAGTATAATGGGTGAGGTATATCACTATATAAAGTGCACTCTGTTGACACCCCTTAGTTTGCCCAGAAACCACAGGATTTCATTCTGGCAGTGAAAAATCCACATCTTACAGTAGAAACCCCACCACAGCATAGTAAACGAAGGGTGCTTTTACTTGTGATCTCCACAGCTTTTAACTCCTCTCCCTGCATCTCACATGAATCTTCGTAATTAGTAGACACAGTTGGATTTATGTCATCCCGCTAAATAAGACTCTAATAGATAAACTGTGGCAGCAAGCAAAACCAAGCTTAACTGTCAGGTTGCGATGCGGAGTTTGAGGTTCTGCATCTCTAATGTATGTTTTGTATTCGGAGGCTGTGGTTCTGTAGCATTAATTTATGGGTGGCTGCTTACAGTGTGATGAGGCAAACAACGACGAGCAAAACACGATAAAGCTGTTTTTAATAGAGTGGCTTCATGCTTTTAGGAAAATAAGCAGGTAAGGTCATAGTAAATAACTGTGTTGGTTACACGTAATGTGTTTTGCTTTAGTGGTTAGTTGCTTTTAAATGACGTGAGTTTCATTTGGTGTGGTATTTGATTACTTTGGTTACATTTTCACTTGTAAAAAAGTGCCATGGTACTACTACAATGTTATGATGGACATTCTGTGAAGCACCGGTAATACTGTGGTGCGTAAATATGATTATCATTCAGTAGAATGTGATCCTATCATTGCATAATGGCACCGCCCAAGTAATCATTGTATTACTGCATACTGGTTTTACTGACCTGCATTTTATTATACGGCTTACATCTCATATTTGCAATATGTTCCCAAGCACCAAGACCTGTAACACAATAGGACAAAATTAAAAAGTTTATCCTTTATGATATCCAACCAGAACAAAAAGCGAACTAAATATAGTAATGGAAAAAAGTACACAGCGCAAGACCGAAAGCTACCTACTGACCTACTTCCTGGTGAATCTTTCATATACAAACATTATACTGTAAATAGTTTTAATGACAGGAGTGCAGTTTCAGAGCTTTGAATGGAACAGATGTACTTATCCTCACCACAGACCTTGTGATTGGATTGTGCCTCCACATTACCCAAAGTACTGGTTCTAAATGATGCCCAACATTGCCCATAATGCAAACACGCATTCTGTGGACACAATCAAAAGCATATGTTTCATTCAACATAACACACTGTGAAGCCTGGCAACACAGGGCAGCTCACTGTCTGTGGCATCACATCTACTACTGTCCATCTAAAATCTATTGTTTTGTTTGTTTGTTTTTTGGTCAAACCCTTTCTGTACTTCTTCATTTCGGAATTTGTGACAATTTGTGTCTTTTCAGCCAATGTTTTATAGTGTATGAAAAATTAAAGTCATGGGGGACAAAAGAGAACAACTTCAATAAAAACAATACAGTTAGTTCCCCAGTGAATTATTACAATACATACTATTATTTATATATTATTATAGTAAGGATTTATATTTTTAATTGGATTTGATATTTTTTCAGTTTTTAGTTTAAGAACTTTTGTGCTTTTGTCATTTTATTTATTTATTTGTTTTGTTTTAATTTCTATCTAGCCTCATTTTTATTTAAGTTTTAGGTATTTTAATACTTTAACTTAAACATATTTATTTTAGTTAGTTGCCAAGGCAACATTTCTAAAGTCCCATGAGTTATTTATATTTTATGGTAACATATATTCAAACATTCACTAATACATTATTAAAATGAAAAGTTGTATCTATTAATATTAATAGACCTGATCTAACATGAACTAACAGTGAACAGTTGTATATTTTTATTAACTAACATTACCAAAGATGAATAAATACTGTAACAAATGTATTGCTCATTGTAAGTTAATGTTAGTTAATGCCTTAAATATAGTTAACAAATGGAACCTTATTGTAAAGTGTTACCTATTTCAGCTTTATTTCAATGAATGAAAATTATTTTGAACAGTTTTTGTTAACAACTACAACACAAAGCTATATGGTTTCAAGAGTCTCTGAAAATAGTGCACCAGGTATTGGACTAAATTCTATGATGTATTTAATGGTGCTCTTTGTCCATTTTTGGAAGACATGGATGAATACGCTAAGAAAGCTTATTATTAAGCTACCCCAGGTAGATAAAATGGCTTGTAGGTGTTCCTCTATAGAACCATACGAGTGTCATATGAACCACACAGAAAGAACATTACAAAAGCTACACAAGTCCGTACCACTTAGAAGTGTTGCTGAGCCTGGGCTGATGGAGCTGACCCGTGTACTGTAGGTCTCCGGAACCCTGTCCATCTCTTTTTTGTGACCAGCTTCAAGCAGAAGAATCTTCTTCCCTGCCAAATTTGGATCTAGACCTGCATGAAGAACACAGATTAAATGCAGGATGATTTATTTTCTTTCCAATGTCCTTTCTAAATCACTGTGATGTTGTTTCTTCTCCCATTTTGCATATTTTACCAATATATCTGAACAAGAGCTTACTAAAGTTTGCATAAAATCTGTGCGTTAATTGCACACTGCTTACGTTTAGCATCCTACGGCATGTAATTGCACCCTTCACCTCCAGCTAAAACACTTTCATCAAGCAAAATAGCAACCTCTTTTTTTTTTGCGTGAGAAACAAGGGTAAAGAAAAGTCACGGCAAGGACTTGTGGGAAATGTAGCGTGGGAGAGTGGAGATGAGGGCAAAAGCAGGCTGTGTGCATGACAGGGACACTCACTCACCCAACGAACATGCCATAGCGGTGCCCACCATCCCCCCGCCGGATATTATAATGTCAAAGAGCTGGTTTTCAGAAGTGCTGGATTCCTCATGGCGCTCGGAGGACGCGAATCCTCTACGCGCTCCGCTGAACGCCCTCAGTGCAACACACCGCCGTCCTATCCCGAGCACTGCTAGCTTAGCTTTCGCGAAAGTGAACATTCTAGCGGAAAAACAGACGTGAAACAACTTGTTACAACTATCAAGCCTTAAAGTAAATATCTAAAACGTTTCGTCCTATTTGTCCTGTTGTTGACAACGACGGTATTCTATCTATCACCATCCAGCCATGTTGTTGTTGTACGAGAATACGTAAGAGTTCTGTTTGCTACACTCCTTCCGGATTTTAAAAGCCACAAAAATGATTGAAAATGAATCATGGGCATTTCCAAAACATTTCATCTGTCTTCACTTTACACGGGAAATGTATGTCACATACAGCCAGTGTTGGGGAAAGTTACTTTTAAAAGTAATGCATTACAATATTGCGTTACTCCATACAAAAGTAACTAATTACGTTACTTAGTTACTTGTTATGGAAAGTAGTGCGTTACGTTACTTTTGCATTACTTTTTAAATCTGGACAGGGCTTGCTTGTTTGTTTTTAAAATAAAAAATGTTATATTTTTGGCAAGTATAAAAGCCTTTTCACACCAAAAGTGAAATGAATAAGCCTCAGGCTGAAGGGAAAGTAAATTTACGTCTGTACAGTCAATAAATTGGAGAAAAAAAAGTAACCTGCGTTACTTATTTGAAAAAGTAACTCAGATATTCTCTTGTAAATTAAAAAGTAATGCGTTACTTTACTAGTTACTTGAAAAAAGTAATCTGATTACGTAACTCGCGTTACTTGTAATGCGTTACCCCCAACACTGCATACAGCACTATTAAATGACAGTGTTGTGTCTTTTAAACTCCTTTCACTTCCCCGCTCTTGTTCAGAAGTGTTTGAGATGGAAGCCTGTTACCTTTAGCGCCATCTGCCGTCGTGGAGGACACAATCAAGTGCGTTTAGTTTATTTAAATGTGAACATAGGCGACATGTATCTGTGTTTTGCTGCTGCATACAGTGTTTGCTGAGAAACCGATGCTGTTTTGTATCTAGTATTCCTGGAAGACATAAAATTACTGTAATTGTGAACTCAGGATCCAGTGTTCAGGCGCCGGTGGGTGGAGAGACTGTCGCTGGAGCAGAGATCACGATATTTGCCGCTTCCAAGGAAATGAAGTGCGTCTTGATCTTTGACAGTTAAAGGATGAGTGTTTGAATGATGTCCTCATATCGGGCCTGACACACCATGGATCAGATGACAATGGTGAGGGGAAAAAATCAATAATGGCGGGAGAGGGAATAGAGTACCAGAGTTTGAGTTCAAAACGCAAACACATGTCTGATATTTTCCACTGTATTTGTCGATTTAACATTGATTAATCTGCTTTTGTTATTGTTTATACACTTAATTTTGAATCGCTTTTGGCGAAGGCGAACAACAACAACAGAGCGTAACTATGCGCGTTTGGGGTTGCCATAGTAACGGCATTTACGCTGTTGACATCTAAAACGCGACTCCTCTAGCTAAGAAAAAACAATAACAGACAAAGTCAATATCTTGATAACATAAAATGTTATTTTCTTTCAGATATAAATAATCGTTTTGATAATCGTTTAAATTTTATTTTACGCTAGTGCTTGCATTCATGGATTGCATTCATCTGTTTGTGGGATGTTGTTCATCTATTTAATGCAGTACAAATATTCCATGTAGACTCCCAAAATGTTGTTTATAATAGTTTTGCTTATATAGCATGCCATAATACATTTTAAATAGTGTTTTTAATTACCAAATTACAGTTTGGTGGCTGTTTCTTTCAGCTCCTTTCTTATTTCAAAAGTAAAACAATTAATTAATCCAACAAACAAACTAAATACAGATTTTCTGTCCAGATCTCTCCCACTTTAGATTTCTGTAGATCTGAAGAGGGAGACAATGTGCACGTTACGGAAAGCCTGCTGTCCTGTAATGAAGAAAAGAATAAGGCTGAACTATCTCTTGAGTTGCATTTGGAGGCTCTGAAGGCCAAACGCAGGCTGCAGCTGGAGAAGATAGAGCTTCAGCACCAGAATGGCCTGGAGAAGAGGGTCCTGCAGAACTCCCTGCTCACCTCCATACTTAAATCCGAAATACTGCAGCAGAGCATCAGCGATCATGATGGGCGAAACTCTGAGAACCGCAAACACCACAGGTAATTCAAATCTTAAAGGGGTCATATGATGCGATTTCAAGTTTTCCTTTCTCTTTGGAGTGTTACAAGCTCTTGGTGCATAAAGAAGATCTGTAAAGTTGCAAAGACTAAAGTCTCAAATCCAAAGAGATATTCTTTATAAAAGTTAAGAGTCAACCACGCCTACCTAAAACGCCTCGTTCTAACACGCCCCCACATATCTACCTCACTATGTGGAAATATTAGCATAATGCCGCCCAAATGTTCACGCAAAGAAAGAAGGCGTGGTTTCAGGAACAGCAGTCGTGTTGATGCAGCCATGTTATCTTTAAAATAGCATCATATGACCCCTTTAAATGTGATAACGATGTTTGCAAAGGTATTATTTGAAACATACAGTACGTCTTCCACTCTTGTCCTCAGTTCAAAGGTGATTCTGCGGAATTTTACCTCAAATGGAGTCGAGGCACCAAGAACTACTGGATCTAATTCTCTGGGAACGGTGACAGAGAGACAGAGGAAGCCTCTCCCTCCGGATTCACAGAAAGCCAAAGAGGAGGCAGGCCTGACTGAGTGTCAGAAACAGTTTCGTGTCGCTCTCGTCCCTGAGCACGTCTCAAAGCCTCTTTATGATGACCTCATCCATGAACAAGAGCGCTTGAGGAAGGAAGGTCGTGAGCAGAGGAGAGATTTCCTCTTCACCACGCAGAAGCCCTTCAGGTTCCACAAGAGGGAGGAGAAGAAGCGAGAGAGGCTGAAGGAGGAGGTGGCCTCTGCTAATAAAAGTGAAAAAACAGAACCAGTTTGTGTGAGAAAACCTATAACGAAAGCGGTCTCAGAGCCCAGGTTCTCTGAACAGCTGAAAGGTGCCATTTATTTGAATATTTAATCGAAATAATGTATAATATATTATTTTACATGCTTATGTATGTACTAAACACCATATGTGACCCTGGATCACAAAACCAGTCATAAGGGTCAATTTTTCGAAATTGAGATTTATACATCATAAATAGGATTCCATTGATGTATGGTTTGTTAGGATAGGACAATATTTGGCCAAGATACAACTATTTGAAAATCTGGAATCTGAGGGTGCAAAAAAATCAAAATACTTAGAAAATTGCCTTTAAAGTTGTCCAAATGAAGTTCTTAGCAATGCATATTACTAATCAAAAATTAGGTTTTAATATATTTACAACATTTACAAAATATCTTCATAAAACATGATCTTTACTTAATATCCTAATGATTTTTGGCATAAAAGAAAAATCGATAATTTTGACCCATACAATGTATTTTTGGCTATTGCTACAAATATACCCCAGTGACTTAAGACTGGTTTTGTGCTCCAGGGTCACATATGTATCATATTTAATTGAAAATCTAACATGTTTAAAGGAATAGTTTACACAAAAAGTAAAATTCGATTTTAATTGGAAAATGTAATTGGAAAATGTACATTCAATTTTAACTTAATTTATTTTAAACATTAGAACATCATCTTTTACTCATCTTCTAAAACTGTTTTTATGTGATGCTGGTTCAGAGCAGGAGCAGCAAAGGAAGATTCGCATTCATCTGCGAGCTCAGGAGACTCTGAAAGCCTCCTCAGCACCCATTCAGAGGCAGGAACCCAGTGCAGATAGAGAGACCCGCAGTGCTCAGAAGAACAAAAGCAAGATGCTGGGTTTCTTGGACCAGGAGCTGTCCTTCAGACCTAAAACTAACGCTGCCATGCCTGACTTTGACAAGCTCTACCAGGCCTTTCAACAAAAGGCAATGGAGGCAGCAGAGAGGAGAGATGTCACTCACTGTAAACCCTTCCAACTGCGCACATTCATGCTACATCCACGCCACAGGAGTCCAGAAAACCCACAGGTTGCGATTTGAATTGAGTTTAGATTCCTTTAATGTAATTCCTTTGAGTTTAATATGTAATTTCTCATGACTAGAAATCTACAGACAAGATGAATCTAAAGAGAAGCAATTCATTTGGTGGTCTAACATCACTGTCTATGGATACTCTTCCTACTTACATAACAGATGCTGCCAGGAAAAGATCCATGGCTGTAAGGTGAGCCTGCCGCTTTGTAAATTTTCATAATTGTATACAACTTTTCAATGACTAAAATCAATAAAACCAAGTAAACGGATCATATTTTCTTTTATAATAACACATTCGTGGTCTTTTTTGCACAATTCTTGACTTCACTGTATTCCAAAGAAAGAACTGTAATTTTGTAATTTTTCATTAAATCTCATTGGCTGCGCTATTGGTTAATAATATTAATGCAAATAGCTATTTAAGCATTGTTTTGGGCTAGTATTGTTGGTTCAACACTTCTAAAATGCACTTTCAAGCATCTTTTCAATATTTAAACACAAATTAAATGAAATAAAAACTGTTAATGTACTGTATTAGAGTTGTATGGCTATTTGAATAAAGCAAATAATAATAAAATACATTATTTAAAGCAATAAAAAAGAAAAAAATGTATATTAGAAATATATTCAGAAATATGTCATATTACAGAAATAATATACGTTCACTTGAGTTATTTTCTTTTTTATCTTATGTATTTATCTATTATAGTTTCTCGTATCTATTTTGTACCATGTATGCAACATATTTGGGCTTGTTATATTACGGTTATTTTGTGAACTTGGACAAACCATATTATTTATAATGAACTGTATACGTATAATAGATGTTATGTATGCACATATAATTAATTGTATTTATTCCGATAAAATGAAGTGTTGATTTACCCAATAAAATTTTATTTTCTATTATCCAAATAAAAATAATGACATTTTTAAAAAATGATGAATAATCTACCTGTCATCCAGGAGATCTCTGGAGCTAAAGACCTCAAGGAGCAGGAGAATGCAAAGTGGATGAAGCAGCACAGAATCAATTCTCAAGCTATGAGCAGGGCAGTAGCAATGAGAGCCCAGGCAATGGACCCTCATAAAAGTCTTAAAGAGGTCTACCAAGAGAAACTCAAACAGCACCGGTGAGCACTTTCAAAAGATGTCTTTATTGTATAAACAAGCCAGGAATGTAATAACTTGATTATGAGTTCTTGTGAATGTAGGCAAGCTGATCTGGAGAGGATGAAAGATTATCAAAGAGAGCTGAAGGAAATCAAAACACGAGTGACAGCGCGCCCGTACCTGTTTGAGCAGGTGTCGCAGGTACACTACTTA